TATCTCGTTCTCTCTCAAATAAATAAATAAAATCTTTAAAAAAAAGAAGAAGGAGATGGACCAAAAACCCAACTGAGTCTTTCCACTGAGCCAGAAGACACAGTGAAGCAGAGAGGGGCAATCCAAAGATTCGGACTGTAGGACAACGGGACTGCTGGCCCCCCGGCCAGGGCTGGTCCACACTTTGAGCACAGAGCGGGTTGGAAGGACCCAGCTGCGGTCCATCACCCCACATAATGGTGAGGGTCCTGCCTCCCTGAAGCCCTTCTCTGCAGCCCCCTCTCTCAGCTGTGCCCCTGGCCTGCTAGAGGGGAACATTCCAACCCAAACTGGGGTTGGGACCCATGAGTATAAGTAGTCCTGGCGCCTGCTCCCTATGTGGGGATTGTGCTCAGCCTCCCACCTGCTTTTCCTCCCACCAGACAAGGTAAGAAGGGCAGACCAGTGAGAGTCTTCTGAAGGATGCCAGGCTCCTCGCGACTTCCAGGCTCACCCTCCTGTGGCCCAGCCCTTCGTCAGCCCCATTCATTCAGTGCGTCAGGGCTCTGAGTAGTGGTCTCCTGAGCACCCCCCATGGGGCGGCCCCAGCTGGGGAAGGGTGCTGGGCACACACGCTCCCCTCCCAGCCGGGTTTACTTGTTTGAAGGTGAGGGTGGCGGCTTGATGTTTCTGCTGTGGTTTCTGTCGGCAGCTCTTCGTGCTCTTGCCCCTCGCTTGCTCGCCCGCCGACTCCCCCTGCATCTCCACCTTCTTCTCCTTCGTTTGGAAGGATTTTTTCTCCTGTTTCAGCCTTAGGTCCTGGATCAGCTGCCTGTCCAGGAGGAACAGGGAGGGTCGTGGAGGTTAGGGATGGGCTACAAATGGGTACGCTCTCCCTGAGGGGGGGATGATGCTTGCCAAAGAGTGCAGTGTCATTCCCCCCGCGTGTCCAGCCTGCACAAATGACTGCAGGGCCCAGAGCAGAAGGTGGAGGGGACAGTCATGCTTCCCACCACACCATTCCCAGTCTGGGGAATAGCATCCAAGGAGTGATGCAAAGTCAGCCGCTCTACCCGAGGCCAAATCCCACACGTAGCAGGTGCTGGGAAGAGGGTCTGGGTAGGTGGCCAAACAAGGGGCCCCCACATTGGACCACTTTATATCCCGGGCCTCTCTGGCCAATGATGTAGTGGGAATAACGCAGTCACATGGGTCAGGAGACAGGGATCCCAATTCCTCTTTTGTTATCGCCTACTATACGACCCCTTCTGTGCTCTGACTTCTCCGTCCATAAAATGAGGTGATGGGGACGCCTGGGTGGCTCAGTCGTTAAGCATCTGCCTTCAGCTCAGGTCATGATCCCAGGGTCCTGGAATCGGGCCCTTCATCAGGGTCCCTGCTCGGCGGGAAGCCTGCTTCTCCCTCTCCCACTCCCCCTGCTTGTGTACCCTCTCTCGCTGTGTCTCTCTCTCTTAATTTAATTAA